TTTGGTCTTTTTGAGACAGGGTCTCCCTGTAGCCCCAGCTGTCCTGGAACTCACTATGTAGACCAGGCTGGCCTTGAACTCACAGAGATCCGCCTGTCTTTGCCTCCCCAATGCTGGGATCAAAGGCGTGTGCTACCACGCCCAGCCAAATCTTTTTCTTTTTAAATAAATAACCTTTATCATATTGAAGAAGCTCCCTTTGTTTCTAGTTTGTTGAGTGATTTGTTATGATAGAGTCCTAGATTTTATCAAATGGTTTTCTGCCTCTATTGAGATGGTCACTCTGTGTTTTGTTTTGTTTTTTGAGACAGGGTCTCATTATATAGCCCTGGCTGGCCTGGAACTCACTATGTAGACTGGGCTGGCCTTGAACTCACAGAGATCCTCTTGCTTCTGCTGGAATTAAAGGCATGTGCCAACACGCAGGGCTACTTCAAAAATTTTTTTAACTTGTCAAGTTTTTCTGAAACTTCCTCTCCATACCATTCAGCTGGCATTATAACTTGTCTGCTGGGGTCACTCATTTTTACATTTCCAGTCTGATCTTCTCAGTTCTCCAACTTTTTTATGAATTGGTGTACATAAAGACCATTTATTCTCTGACACCTGACTTGGGCAATAGATCTGACTAGATGAAGTTCCATCCATGGCTGGCCCATACGTACCACTTCCCAGTTTATTATATAACCAGAAATGGAATACATAGGAGGCACTCAGTAACTATTTATTGAATGGATGAATGGGCAAATGTATGTATAGGCAAAACAATTCACATGCAAAGTAGGCACAGAACTACACCAAGCCTTTGCTATGAAGAACCAGCCCTTCACTGTAAAGCAAGGGTAAATGTTCGAGGAGATGAGTATGTTTAACCTGATTGAAACATTACACAGTACTATACATATGGAAACATGACATGGTACTACTTCATTAACCAGTAAAATTTTTATTTATCAGTTAAAAATAAAACTTTAAAGATCAAGAAAAGAAAGGAACATTTGGAGAAAGGTCTTGAATTGTTTGCCAGATAGCTATGTGATACTTTAAAATATACTGAATTATTATTATATCAACTGAATTATTATTATTATTATTGCAATTATTTTTTGGTCTTTTTGAGACAGGGTCTTCCTCTAGCCTCAGCTGGTCTGGAAATCACTATGTAGACCAGGCTGGCCTTGAACTCACAGAGATCTGCCTGCCTCTGCCTCCTGAGTGCTGGGATTAAAGGCGTGCACCACCACTCCTCACTTCAATTGGATTATTTTGTGTTCAAGTCTATTTTTTTTTAAGGTCTTTTCAGGTGCTGGAAAAATGGCTCAGCAGTTAAGAGCACTTACCAGTGCTCTTGCAGAGGACCTGGGTTTGCCTCCCAGCACTCATTTAGCCTGCTGTCTTTAACCCCAGCTCTAGCACCCTCTTCTGGCCTCCACAAACATTGCATGCTCATGATGCACTTACATACATGCAGGCAAAAGATACAAATAAAATGAAAATTTTAATACTACTACTACTACTACTAATAATAATAATATAAAAATTAAGTTCTTTTCAAGGTGGCCGTGGCAATATATGCCTGTAACTTAGCACCTGGGAGGCTGAGGCAGGAAGAGTGTGAGGTGGCACATGCCTTTAATTCCAGCACTCAGGAGGCAGAGACAGTCAGATTTCTGTGAGATCAAGTCCAGCCTGGTCTGCATAGCCAGGTCTAGGCCAGCTGTGTCTAAAAAGACAAAACAAAACAAAACCTTTTAAAATGTTATCTATTTAACATTTTTGTATCTGTTTTTATTGTATGAAATGGTATTATTTTGAAAATTGCACATGGAACTCTTAAAGACAATGCTGGCTTTCTTATTGTGGTAAAAAGTATGTAACAGAGTCTACCAGTGAACTGTTTTAGCATATTCACATTATTGTACAACCATCCATCTTCAATGTCCAGAACATTTTCCTTACTCCCATATTAGTTATTTGTTGCTATGACAAAATACCCAACAAAAGAAATTTCAGGAAGGAAATGTTTGTTTTGGCTGACAGTTTGACAGTACAGTCCACCCTGGCAGGGAAGGCATGGAGGCAAGAGTGTGAGGCAGCTGGTCACATTGTGCCCACAGTCAGGAAGCAGGGAGAGATGGATTCTTATGCTCAGCTCACTCTCTCCTTTTTCTTCAGCCTGAGACCCCAGCTCATGGGATGGTGCTGCCCACATTCATGTAAGATCTTCCCTCTTTAGTTAAACCTTTCTAGAAACACCCTCATAGACACACCCAGAAGTGTGTTTCTATGGTGACTCTAAATCCAGTCAGGTTGACAACTGAGACCAACCATTACAACTCCAAACTGAAGCTCTTCTCATTAAACATAACTCTCCATTTCCTTGTCTTTCTTGGCTGCCACAAGTCTACTCTGTCCGTATGAATATGACTATCCCAGGTACTTCTATATAAGTGGAACTGGGGGCTGGAGAGATGGTTCAGCAGTTAAGAGCACTTGCTACTCTTGCAAAACTGGGTTTAGTTCTCAATGCCCACATGGTGGCTCACAACCATCTGTAACTCCAGTTCTAGGGGATCCAATGCCTGCTTCTGGCCTCTGTGGGCACCAGGCATACATGTGGTGCAGTACATACATGCAGGCAAAACACTTGTACACATAAAGTAAAAATAAATCTTAAAAAAAGTGGAATCATACAGTATTTATCCTTTGTTGGCTGGCTTCTATATGTCTTCATGGTTCAACCTTTATTCTTTCCTTGTTAAGGCTGAATAATATTCCATTCTGTTGTGTGCCTATGTCACAATTTTTTTAAAAAAAGTATTCATCTATCAGTAGACTTGGGTTGCTCTTGTTTTTTGGCTATTTTAAATAATGCTACCGTGAACTTAGGTTTATATACCCAGAAGTGAAATGATTGGGTCATATTAGTTTTGATTGTTTTTGACAGGATCTCATGTAACCCATGCTGGCCTTAAACTCTCTGTACAGTGGAGGATGACGCTGAAGTTCTAATCCTCCTGTCTTCATCTTCTAGGTGTTGGAATAATAGGCATATACCAGCATGTCCAATTTTTATGTGGTCTTGGGGATTGAACCCAGGACCTCAGTCATGCTAGGCAAGCACTCTGCCAACTGAACTCCATCTCCAGCCCCCTCATAGTTTTAATGTATTTAATTTTAAAACCTTTTCATTTAAATTCTTGTTTATTATTATTGGGAGAGGGGATGTGCACCTGCCACAGCACATGTAAGGAGTCAGAGGACAGCTTTGTGGAGTTGATTCTCTCCTTCATCCTTATGTTGGTTTCAGGGATTAAATTCAAGTCATTAGGCTTGTATGACAAGCACTCTTACCTGCTAAGTTAGCTCACTGACCCAATATTTGATTTTTTTGAGTTCCTGGCATTCTGTTTTCCTCAGTGGCTGAATGCTGGCTTTTGAAGACAGGTCTGCTGAAGACAATTTCCCCTTTTCCTGGTGGGACAGGCCACAGACCCTGTACTACATGTCCCAGCTGTGTGCTTGTTTGTCTGTAGGAATGTGGCAGGGTTTTGTTACTGGGTCTGTTCTTGGTGGAAGACCTTTGATTATTTCTTGATACTCAACTATGCCCTGCATAGGTCAGGCTGTCAGTGGGTCCCAGGCAGAGGGACTGAAACTACCTATGGTTATTGACATTCTGCCTGTCCTCATGCGAAAGGAATGAATTACAGAGAATGTCCAGGGTCTAAGACATAAGACAATCTTTCCTTTAGGCCAGCCCTTGTGTGCCCCCATGTCTGTACCCATTCCAGGATCCCTGTGATCTCTTTTTATCTTCTTGGCCAGATCCAGGACCATTCCAGCCCCTAGTCCAACCCTGACAAGAAGACATGACTGCTGGGCTGGCTTAGACCAGCCGTGAGTCATGCCATGGGGGCCCCAGGGTAATAGTTGTTGGCAAGACGAGCAACAGTGTCTGCCATATTTCAGAAAAAGAGCCATGGTCAAGCTGCTCCAGTCCAGCCAGTGAGGTCGGCGGTGGCCTTTCCCCCAGCATAGTCACATAAAGGCCTGTAAAAACTTGTTTTATGTCCTTTCTCAGCTCTCTACCTCCCCTGTAACCTGTTGAACATGGATTCTTGTGGCTTTAGCCTTTTTTCTTACTTGGGAGGCAGTTCTTCTGCTGGCAAAATACAGGCTGGGTGGGAGTGAACCTAACCGAAGGCCAGAACCACAGTAACTTAGGGCAGCAGAGATGTATCGTCTCCAGTTTCATGGTACTGAAACTGGATCATCAGGATCTGAATAAGACTAAGCATTTGAACCCAACTGCCATCTCTGCCTCCCCTAAATACCTGGGTATTTACAGGCTCAGCCTTCTCTTAGTCTGCCTCGGCTGACGTCACCGTCAGATGTCACTGCAGACAAAGTTTCCTGCGTGCTTTGAACCCCACTGATCAGGTGAGCTTGAGGAAAACACAGGTTTTCTTAGCTTTTCCATCTTTCTTAGAAGGGACTATGGGCTGAGAAATGTCTCTGTTCAACTCAGCTGAGCCTTGACTTGACCTTTGGCTGTCAAGGGGAGCAAAACCAATGATGGAGGGTCCAGAGATAACATCGCAACTACCAAGGTTCCTTTCTAGCAAGCTCTGGGGAAAGGAGCCACAGGTCTTTCTGGGTTCAGCAGAGCACCTGATTCACTGAATGCGTTCTAAAGTTTACCTGTTGCTCCTTCTCTACTGCAAAAATGTTTTGAGACCTCATCACCTCTCCCAACACTCGACCCTCCTTATTGTTCCATCCTGCATGACTAGCCCCACTTCCTGCTCAGCCTCTCCTGATCCTGGCACTCTGGCCATGGTCTGCCATGGCAGCTTGTAGATAGTCCCCCTTGCTCTCCTCTCCAGCCTTGGAGAGTCTGTCCTATGCCAGTCTGTCCTCTGCCAGTCTGTCCTCTGCTCCTGCAAGCCTTTTGCCTATCTAACCTTTCTTCTCTTTAAGGTCTCCATTTAGCTGTGACCTCTTCCAGAAAGACACTCCTGATGCCCAGGAACCAGCGGTCCCGCCTCTGTGTTGTTCCTTGGTGTCTAATGTTCCTGTCTTCTTTCTGCCTCCTCTCCAGAGCACAACCCCTTGACAACAGGGCTCACCTTTGAATCCTTACATCTTGCTTAGGGCCTGGCATGAACAATCATGAACTGAATGAACGATCAACTGGTTCCCGGCTTGCCTTAGCAGGCAGCACCCACCAGCTCTCTCTATGGGGACTGTGGGATCCCTGGAGTCTACCCTTGAAGCTCCAGAGAGTCTGAGCAAAAGACTGAATGAAAAATCAACTGGTTCTGGCTTGCCTTAGCAGGCAGCACCCACCAGCTCTCACTATAGGGGCTGTGGGATCCCTGGAGTCTACCCTCGAAGCTCCACAGAATCTGAAGGAGGATTTTCCCTTTCTCCCCTCAGGGATCAACTACTGTGCACTGAACAAACCAGGCTGTGAGCATGAATGTGTCAACACAGAAGAGGGCCACTACTGCCGCTGCCGCCGGGGCTACACTCTGGACCCCAATGGCAAGACATGTAGCCGTGAGTGTGCCTCTGGGGTGTGGGTGCTGATGGGGTGAGGGTCCATGCACTGTCCTGTGGGCTTACTAGCACCTGGGCCCTTCTAGAACTCCTGGATTTGCTGTGAACCTGAGAGCCTGTCAGGTATAAGCTTTCTCGCTTCAGTTTCATCAGCTGTAAAATAGGACTGTTAGTACTACCCACTTCATAGGTTGAGCTGTAAGGATTAAGAGAGTATGTGCTGATCCAAGCGTGGTGGCGCACGCCTTTAATCCCAGCACTTAGGAAACAGAGGCAGGAGGATCTCTGTGAGTTCAAGGTCACCCTGGTCTATATAACGAGTTCCAGGCCAGCTGGGGCTACAGGGAGACCCTGTCTCAAAAAAAGATGCCTCCCCCCAAAAAACACAAAAACAGAGCGAGAGAGAGACTATATACTGAGCATGGCGGCACACATCTGCAATCTCAGCACTCAGGAGACTAAGGCAGAAGAATGGTGAGTTCAATATGGGTTGTACAGAAAGACCCTTTCTCATGAGAGAGACAGATAGAGACAGAGCAAGAGAGAGACAGAGAGAGAGTGAGAGAGAGAGGATGGATAGGTAGAGATATCTAGATAGATAAGAGATAAGGATATAGCTCAGTTGGTAGAATGTTTGCATAACATGCACAAAGTTCTGGGTTAGATCCCCAACACCACATAAACCAGGCATGATAGTACATACCTGTAATCCCAGAACTCAGGAGGTGGAGACAGGAAGAGCAGAAGCTCAAGGGCAAGTTTGAGGCCCGCCTGGGGCTACATGAGACCAGTTTCAGAGAGAGAGAGACAGAGAGAGAGAGACAGAGAGACAGAGAATGAATATGAATATATGTATGCTGTTTAGACTACAGCTGCTAGACATGGCACCCAATAAATAGTAACTACTACTATTGTTTGCTATTAAAAGTGTTTACTAAATCAGAGAGGCCCAAATTCAAATCTAAGCTCTGCCAAATACTACATATGTGAGCTTGGCAAGGTTATTTTATTTCTCTGAATTTTGATTCCTCAGTTGTTTAAAAAGTGAAGATGATAGTAGCATTGATCCCCTATATTATGGGGAATCATTGGGACCATTTCAGTCTCTTAGCCCAGTCATGGTTCAAGATAATTATCTAGTAAAAGACAATACTCCATTATCACTCAGCCTGTGAAAGTGACTAGTGTCAGGCTCAGGTTGGGAAAAAAGACCATAGGGGTAGAACTTCGAAAATCATGGGCTACCCGGGTTAATGTGGGGCAGAGCTGGGCAATGTGGGACTTTCTTTTTTGTTTTGTTTTGTTTTTGAGAAGATTTCCCTGCAGCCCCAGCTGGCTTGGAACTTTCTATGTAGACCAGCTGACCTTGAACTCACAGAGATTTCCCTGTCTCTGCCTCCTGAGTACTCAGATTAAAGGTGTGTAGCACTATGCCTGGCCTAACAGGAGGCTTTCTTGGAGCCTTTTCTTAATTTCCTTGTGTCAGAGCCACAGCAAAGCTCTGCTAAACTCATGGGAACTTACAGGCCTTGCCAGCAGGACGAGTCTTTCACTTTTTTTTAAGACAGTCTCCATGGGCCTAAGCCAGCAGGGTGGATCCCTGTGGCCCTGACACAGAGAGCTGGGGCTCTATGACATGGCCCACATAGAAGCGTCCCTTTATGTGGCCTTACACCTAGCATTCTTGTATCTGCTCCAGCTTAGCAGACAAAGGTAGACTGTGAATGAGAACAGCACAGCTGTTGAGCATTTGGACACTTGACTGCCAAGAAGGGAAGTTTCACAGCTGACATGTGAGGTACAGAGCCAGCCTGGGGGAAACTTGTTCTCTGCTTCAGAGGGAACTTGATTTGGCTTAACGGTTCTCAGAGGCCTAAGGATTTTTTTAAAATTATTTATTTAATAACCATATAATTAGAAGAGGCATTTCATTACAACAGCATTGACATATTCAATAACAATTTCCAGAGCTGCTTCCCTTTCAAAATTGGCTATAAATTTTTAGGTTTACAGTTGAATTAATACAGTTAACCTCTATCAGATGTATCGCTGGTGAAGATTTTCTCCCATTCTGTGGGTTTTCTGTTTATTTCCTTGGTTGTCTCCTTTGATGTACAGAAGCTTTTTAGTTTAATGAGGTCCCACTTGTTAATTCTTGCCCTTGTTTCCTGGGCTATTGGTCTAATCTCTATATATCAGATTATTAGTAGTCACAGTCAGTTACTTTCAGAGCTTCTTGGCATCTGAGCATGGATATAAAGTCATCAGGTAGATTTCAATGGTAATGTTTTTAACATCTACTACATTAAGGAGCAAATTGTTAATGCTTTGAAGAATTTTTTAAAATTTATTTATACACCCATATCCCAGGTAGCACCCTCCCATAGCCTCCCTCCCCCCACTAGAGCCCTTAATATTCTGCTACTGTCTGCTGTGTTGTCGGCACCCCCAGCCATTCCCCACTACTTGCCCTTCTGGTGAATCTAATCAGCCTATCTAGAGGTCCTTGTTTTAGGAAGATCAGCTATTCCTCATCTAGCAGCAATCAGTTATCAATATTTCTTTAGATAAAATTGGGGTCTGCTGTTCATTTTCCCAGTTCTATGCTGGGTTACTGTCTGGGAGTCTCTTGCACCAC